TTTTTTTTTTTCTTTTAGGGGTTTAAATTTCTACAAAACGACGTAGTGTTGTTTTAAATACGAAACAACGTTGTTCGTCTAAGAAAAAAATAAATAAATAAAACTGTAAAATGGTTGAGAACCGACCCGCCGAGAGCGCGTAGGCGCACCATACCCCAGTAGCGCCAAGGCACCACCACCGAACCACTTGACTGATATTTTAAGGCCGATTCACACAAATCGAAGGCGGCCGACTGTTACCACGAGCCTAGGCCACCACCTACCTACTTATTTGAATATTTAATTTTTCAAAAAAAAAAAAATATATATATATATATAATATACTTTTTATAATGAATATCAATAAAAATGAAAATAAAAACAAATAGTTTATAAGTAAAGTCTTAATATGATTAATTTACATTATTTACATAAATATATAATATACATTTCCTATAAAAATAAAAATATTTTTTGAAAAACCAACAAAACATGTATATTATATACATATGTAAGTATTGTCTTAATATTTTCTTGTATCTTAAAAACTTGCCATATATGCATATACATCTAAATTTTAAAAATTTAGTGAAAATAACAAACATAAATATTTTATACATCAAAACCTATATAATATTAAATCTCGTCATAAATGTATACCACATAGTTTTATTCTTAAAATTTAGAGAATACGATAAAAGAATAATTTGTTTGGGTCAAATCAAGTTGAACGGACAAGGTTAATGTACAGTCCTGAACATTATAAAGTCCTGGGCGAAATATGTTAAATGTTGCCTTTGTTTTTTTTTTCTGTTAAAAAAAATGTTACTCGCAATAATAAAAGCAGTTAAATTTAAAATATAAATATATCTAAATTTTATATATAATATTGGATAAATTTCTTAAGAAGCACAAATGAAAATAAAAAAAGAAAAAACTTTTCATTTAAAGAAAAAAATAAGCAGTCAAAGCTCTAAACATTCATTTACTTTTAATATATCATTTAAGTTTAGTGAAGTACATAATACACAGTTATAGTTCTATAGATATTTTTATTGAAAAGTAGTATTTTTTTATTATTTAATAAAAATAAATAACAAATATAAGTTGAAAAACTTGTCTAAAAATTAGCTGACATCACTTAACTCTTTTATTAGCTATTACTAACATAATTAAATTTTGTAATCATAAAAAAAACATTTAGTATATTCACGCAAGAAGAAAAAATTACTAAGTGTTAAAAGAATAAGAGAAAATGCAAGAAAAAAAAAATTCACTAATAATAACTAGTATTTAATTTTGTCATGAAATTAGAAATTGAATAAAACATGAAAAAAGCATTGTTTAAAGCATAAAATAAATCAAGAATTAAGATTAATTTTATGTCTAATTTTTTTTTATTATACAATTAATGTATCTATACATATATTAAAAAATATGTAAAAATGGGCCCTGGGTAAGAGGGGGCCCTGGGCGGTCGCCCGGCCCGCCCTACCCCAGGGCCGGCTCTGTGTCACTCCGAATTTGACCAAGGCGCTTGTTGATCTGTACGAAACTACGAATGATCCAATTGCACTGATTGATTAAGACGAGACATCATCTTGCACCATTGATTTAGTTAATTACTAGTATCTTCACCCGTGCGATGCACGAAACATATTTATTAAAATATTTTAATAAATACATTAATATATATATATATATATATCATAAAAAGTAAATGACAAATAAATAACATTATTATTGAATAGATAGTAAAAGTACAATATTATATGGTATTACAAATTATGAAAAACTTCTTGATAGACAACATTTTTAGTAGTTTTCTTTTCCCCATTGTCGTGCCCCCACATATCTTAAATCCTGTGGATTAGTGACTCGAGACACATCAACGTATAATTGACTATGACTAATAAACACCAGTCTTTTCATGTAAAGTCCGACATGGAATAACGACTGCTCTTAACTCGTGTTGATTGTCATTGCGTAAGAAAACATAAGAGTAAATTGTCTACGTTGAAACTTGAAGGGTATCATGAGATCAGATGGAGTTAGGGAAAGTCTTGATACCAATACCTTATGTCCACCATTTGATCCTGTTAGAATCTTACATTCAAACACGTGAGTGAAAAGTTTCATTATCACCAAGTGTGTTCCATTACACAGTCCAATTGAATGATCAATGTTTCTCAACAACATGACATGAGTCCCAACCTTTAAGTGCAATTCATGATTTGGAAAACCAGAACATTTTATACTATTTAAGAACTCCAGAGTGTGCAGGTCATGCAAGAAATCAACACCACCATCGGATTTGAATATGAGAAAACAATATAACGACACATATTTTGAATATGAGATTTATAGCGTGAATTACTCCTATTTTGTACTCAAGTATCTTGGTAACTTTGGGTGTATTTTGTTAAGCATTCACCAATAATAATGCTTAATTTTTATTGACATTAATATAATTCAAGTATTTTGTTAAGCATTCACCGACAAAATTTCAAAAATGATACATTAAATTGACGTTGTCAACAAAACAAATATTTTGTTGTATCTCATGGAAAGGAAATATTTAGTTGACAATTTGGTCGGAAAGATATATTAATCACTCAACCTGGATAAATAACTGACGTGGCCGGATTAGATAATGACGTGACATTATAAATTTCCTTTATTTCCTACGTGGCGTGATGTGTCATCCTTCTCTCCACGTACACAACTACGCATAGATAAATAAAAATAAAAATAATCCAAAAATAAATAAATAAACAAATAATAAAAACACATCATAAAAAATAAAATAATAATAATAATAATAATAATAAACAGAAAAATAAAATAAAATCCAAAAATAAAAAAATAAAAAAATAGAAAAAGTATATTTCGTTCTATTTTGTCAGCTATATATTAATAAAATATTCTAAAAATTAATATTTTGTAAATATATATTAAAAAATAAAATAAAAAATCGTTAATATTTCGTTTAATATAAATATATTTCACTAATATATATTAAAAAATACTAAAAAAGGAAAAATGAAATTCATTGATAATAATAATTATATATAATTTATTATACTATCAAATATAATACTTTACATAATATTTTATTTATTTAATATATATAAGTATATTAAATATAAATATAAATTTATGTTTAAATAAATTTAAAAGTATTATTTTAGATATGTATTTTTTAAATAAATTAAAATATATTTTTTAATATAAGTTTATATTTTGTGAATTGTATTTAATACTTATATATATTAAGTAAATAAAATTTTATGTAAACTACTATCTTAGATAATATAATTAATAATAAATTATATATAATTATTATTATTAACAAAATATTTATATATATATATATATATATATATATATATATTAGCGAATATATTTATATTTAACGAAAATATTAACAAAGTATTTTTTATTTTTTTAATAATTTTTAATATATATTAACGAATTATAAGTTTTAGAATATTTTATTAATATATAGTTTAGGAAATAGAACGAAATATATTTTTTTGGATTTGGATTTTTTTTAATTTTTCTATTTTTAAATTTTTAGTATTATTATAATTATTTTTATTTTTTTTGCTGATGTGTCTTTATATTTATTTAGTTTTGAAGTTTTTATTTTATTTTTATTTATCTATGTGTAGTTGTGTATTTGGAGATAATGATGTCACATCACGCCAAAGAAACTAAAGAAAGTTATAATGTCACGTCACTACCTCATTCGGCCATGACAGCTTTTTTATCCAGGTGGGGTGATTAATATATCTTTTACGACCAAATCGCCAATTACATGTTTCTTTTCCGCGAGGAACAACAAAATATCTATTTTGTTGACAACTCTTAACTTGGTGTATCATTTTTAAAATTTTGCCAGCATTCACCATTACCATGTTTTCACCATTTGCATATGCACGACTTATATTGTGGGTAGTGAATAATTTTAGATTACCTTCCAAATGTTTAGGACTAATTACATCAATAATTAATCTATATTTAATATTTTTATGGTATCAAATGATTTGGGTGTGCTTGTCCTAAAAAAACTTATATGTCAATATATATGTTAAGTATTATTTTTTTACGTCTCCAGAATAAATCTTATACCTAAAATTGGATTAT